GCAGGAATGAGGTCAGGATCTCCCTGCTGGCTGGAGGACTTGGTTTCACAGCTGAAGGTACCCTTGGAAGGCTTTTCCAGGCCTCCTGTCTTTACTGTCAGTGACAAACATCAGAGCCTGGTAGCGACTTCAGAGAAGTCTGGATGGATGCGGCCGAGTGCGCAGAGACAGCTCTGCCGAGGGCACGTCTGGCCTGCTCTTAAGTACTGCATGTGGCTGCCTGATCTAAGCAGTCCCATGTCCCCGCCTCCACACACGCAACCAGTCACCCGGTGGGTGTCCACCTGCCTGGAGGTCTCGACCGGCAGCCCGCCCTCTTTCCGGATCCCCACCGATCGTTTGGTACTACGCTGGACAACCCAGTGCCCACAATCGTGAGCTTTTGGCCCTTTAAAAAAATAGCCTGGCCGGGACCAGCAGGTGGCATGGTGGTTAAGGACGCTGGGTGCCCACATGGCCAACCACAGTTCAAGTCCCCGACATGGTGGCTTGCTGTCTCACTTTCCTGTTCTGGTTAAATTTAAATAAATATAAAACAGCCTGGCTGGTGGTTACATAAAAATCTGAACGTACCTGTTCCGAGGTGATTGCCCACCCTAACCACTTGAATCAAAGCTACGGGAGGGATCAGACTACGGTTTCTTGTTTCCTGGTGAAACAATCTTCAGGCCGCTGAAACAATCTTCAGGCCTTCCCAACCCTCTGCTCAGACAATGAGCAAACTGAGTCTGAATGATTCCCCAGCATCTGTTACGTATCTGAAGCTGTTCTATGTCCCCTGCTCTTTACAAAGCAGGTTAGGACCAGATGCCCAGAAGACACGGTTGGGAAGTTGGACCTCATAAAATTAAAAACTTCTGTGTGGTAAAAGCATTGTAAGTGAAGAGAAATAGTAGCAGATGCAAGAAAGCATTTAATATTACAATTTATTTTATTTACTGGCTTTTTTTTTTTTTTTTGGTTTATGCCACAGGGCACATGTGCTTGCAAGAGGGAGACAGACAGGGAAAGTGAGAAATCACTCCCCGCCACAACCCCTTCTCCAACTTCCTCTGGGGATTTTGGACACATATGCATATGTGCTAGGCGTGGTTTTCAGGCTGCCAGGTCTGGGCCTTGAGCCACCGTGGGCCATACGGGAGTCCAGCGCCTTACCACTGTGCCACCTGCTGGCCACTTACTTATCTTTACCAGAAACTTGCCAGAGGGCATGTGTGGTCACCAGAGACCAAGAGAGGAAACGCAGAACGCATCCCCATGTGGAGGACAGTCACCCTCAATACCTCCTCCGTTTCTCCCTCCTCTCAGGGTTTTGGGCATACACACCCAGTATGCTGCTTCAGTTACCGGGTCTGGGACTCAGCCCACACAGGTGACCTGTGGGATCCAGCTGCCTTAACCACCTAACGTGGGCTGGCCCAATTCATTTTATTTTACTTTTCTTAAGTGTATGTATTGGAACCAGTAGACAGCATAATGGTTATGTCGCTGGACTCCCATGTAGTTGACTGCGGTTTGAATCCAGGACCCGGTGGCTCAAAATTCATGCCAGGTGCATGTGTGTGCATGCATGCCTAAGATCCCAGGAGAATGGAGGAGAAGGGACTGACGTGTGGCCATCCCCACTAGGGGGTTATTTCTCGCTTTCTATCTCTCAGTCTCTCTGTCTCTCCAGCAAGCCCAACTACCCTACTGCAAAAATCTCTCTTAAAAATAATTTACTGGGACCAGCAGTTAGCATAATGGCTATGTTGCTGGACTCACGTAGTTGACCGCGGTTCGTGTCCTGGACCCGGTGGCTTAAACTCATGCCGGGCGCGTGTGCGTGCGTGCCCAAGATCCCGAGAGGAGAATGGAGAAGAGGGGATTGTGGTGTGACCATCCCCCCTGGCGGTGATTTCTCGCTTTCTGTCTCTATGTCTCTCTCTGTCTGTCTGGCGAGCGCACGCGCCCTACAGTGAAAATCTCTCCAAAAAAAAAGCTTTAAAAGAAGTGCTCCAAATGCGATCCAAAGCTTTTAAAAATTTGCTAGAGGCTGAAAGAGACGGGGCGCGCGGGGTAAAAATCCCCCCCCCCAGAGGAGATGGCCATGTCACAGTCCCTTCTCCCCCTGGAATGTCGGCCGCGTGCGCGCACACACACACATCTGGCATTCCTCCCGTCTCCGGGTCCAGGCCCTGAACCATACAATTGGCCATGTGGGGTCAGCTGCCTTACTCACTGGCCCACCGGCTGGCCAATTCAAACCTTTCTCTTCTTCCTTCCTCCTTTTTTCTTTTCCTTCCCTCTTTTCAAAGAGTCGGGCATTTACTCTCAGTCCTCCTCTCATGCCGCTTTAATAGATCTGGACAGTGATTACCCAGTTTTTATCATCCGCAGTACGGTGTCCACGGTGTCTGGTAGAAACCGGACTTTCTAAAACAGGATTCTGCACACCATGGTCTGTGAGACAAATTTGACTCACTCACAGCCTGTTTTTATAAATAGTTTTTTTTTTTTTTGAGAAGTTTTTGCTACAGGGAGCGTGTGCTCACCAGAAAGACAGAGAGACAGAGAGAAATCATCCCCTAGGGGGGTATGGCCACGCCGCAATCCCTTCCCCTCCATTCTCCTCTCGGGATCTTGGGCACACACGCACATGCGCTCAGCGTGAGTTTAAGCCACCGGGT